GTTCAGATGTGATCCAACAGTAACCACAATCAAAGCCGGACTAAAATCACATCTGTTTAACTGTTATTTTTTATTTCCTATTTTTATATATTTCTTATGTATCATTCATTATTTCGTAATATTATTTATTAAATATTGTAAAACTCTATAAACGTCTTGGTCATCAATTTTATTGATTTCATTTGCATCTGATCATTTGTATTAGCAAATCTGTGTACTTAACAGTAATTAGCCGATACAACCCTAACATGATGTAAGGTGTTGGGGTATAACATTTCATCTGAAAAAATTATAAATATATATTGTTAATGAATGCAGGTTCAACGTTTACTTCTTGTAGAGGATGTCTCTCCACCGAGGAAGATGCCTGTGGAATTTCTTTCATATCAGAAAAATTCCAGTAATGAAAACAATCTTGAGGGAACCACTGGAGTACTCTTCAATCCCTGCGATGCTTTATTTAAATCATTATTGAAACAAACAAATGTTGATTCGAACAAAGACTAGGCCTTGTCTTCATCATGTAGGTATGCGGCCAGTCCCTGCCCCTCACAAAAAAACTGCATGACTGTATAAGAAAGCGTTTTCTGGTTAAATTTTCTGATAGATTAGCAAGCATTTTTTTTAAGTCATAACATTATAGCAAGGATAAGACCTACATACCTTTGGTGATCTCCTCCTTTTTGTGTGGATAATCCTTTCCCGTCTCCATGGTTTCCTCCGGTGGTGGACACTGCTCCCTAAATCTGTTGAGTACGTCGCTGTATATGTTTTGACATGACTCCCAGTTGACATTTTTAACTTTGTAATCATTAGTTACTTTGAGTAACAATTCCACCACATCATCTGCCCACACAAAGACATCCTTGCTTTTCCTCACCATAATGCTCTTGTTGTACCGGCCGGTCTGTGACTACTAACCAACTGCATAGTGAACAAGCAACTTCCTGTTTACACTTTTACGCACATGCCCTATTCTGTTCTGACCAATTGCGTAGCTTGAGCAAAGGCTTAACAGATAGCGTACACTTTCAGAAAAGAACTCCAGAAAGCAGTCTTCATAACTTTAGTGACTTTACTGGTGATTGTTCTTCTCAATTCTTTTATGTAAAACTACAAACAAGAAAAAATATGTATGAACATTATGTTCACATTTACATACACATCCAGCTTAACATTACAGTTCGATTTTGTACATAGTTCCTTTTTTAACGTTATTTAAAGTAATGTACATGTCAAGAAATCATATTCAAATGAGATTATGTACAAACAGAAGAGAAATTAGCAGTACGCTAAAACAAAGTATGGTACCAATAACGCGAATCATGTCTGTTTATAACAAAATATAAGAATAATCCCGATCTACACTTTACTTTAATAAAATGTAGCACTTACAGACATATATTTCCAAGATTTAAACGATGGAATCAATAACCCATAGGAACTGCATGCACGTTCTTCTTGACTGCGTTCCCTGAGAGAAACCGAAAGTAAACGGCAAAATAAAGTGTAGTACCTTAAGTGTCCTGTAGGTGTAAGAAAATAAACACCGCTAGACATAAGAAACCGCACATGCCCAGGGTGCATGAATTGTCATGTGACATGCGCTTTTGGTCGTGTAGCGTAGATCTTTTCTGAAACGCAGTGGAAATGTAATTAAGGTCGAGGATCATTTTCATTTTAAAACGCACTAGTGTATACATAGCCTCATGTCTTGGAAAAAAAAAAAATTCATTTGTGTTTCTTTAACTTCAGGTTCTTTTATGTCCCAGTGGTTGATTTTTATAAAACAAACTTTTTGTTGTATGAAGATCACAAATGTATAAAGCATTATCATGCACAGGCTGCAGGTATAATCACTATTGTCCGATTCGCTTCAGTCCTGAGATAACACATAGAAAACAGCAACACTTGAGTGAAATATTTTAATCTCAGTCACACTGTACTCATTATCCCAGAAAGGAATCAGAGGAATTTGGAATGTCACATTGTCTTATGGGAGTTTTTTCTGCATTCTTTGCAGATCACAAATGTTGGTTAAATCACTGGCTGCTTACAATATCACAATAATGCAACATGATATTATTGTATGTACATTAGTGGCTCACATTTGCATGTCCGTTTACAGAGTTTCAATTTCTACCACTGGCCACAACTGAATTAAGTTCAGCCACAGATAATGTGTTGTTGTTTTGAGTGTGCCATGATAAAAACAATTTGTCTATTGCTTTGGTCACACTTTATTTTAAGGTCCAATTCTCGTTATTAACAAACCATTTACTATGACTTTTTCCTCAATAAACTCCTAATGTGCTGCTTATTAATAGTTAGTAAGGTAGTTGTTAAGTTTAGTTATTTGGTAGAATTAGGGATCTAGAATGCTGCAGGTATTATCACTATTGTCCGATTCGCTTCAGTCCTGAGATAACACATAGAAAACAGCAACACTTGAGTGAAATATTTTAATCTCAGTCACACCGTACTCATTATCCCAGAAAGGAATCAGAGGAATTTGGAATGTCACATTGTCTTATGGGAGTTTTTTCTGCATTCTTTGCAGATCACAAATGTTGGTTAAATCACTGGCTGCTTACAATATCACAATAATGCAACATGATATTATTGTATGTACATTAGTGGCTCACATTTGCATGTCCGTTTACAGAGTTTCAATTTCTACCACTGGCCACAACTGAATTAAGTTCAGCCACAGATAATGTGTTGTTGTTTTGAGTGTGCCATGATAAAAACAATTTGTCTATTGCTTTGGTCACACTTTATTTTAAGGTCCAATTCTCGTTATTAACAAACCATTTACTATGACTTTTTCCTCAATAAACTCCTAATGTGCTGCTTATTAATAGTTAGTAAGGTAGTTGTTAAGTTTAGTTATTTGGTAGAATTAGGGATCTAGAATATGGTCATGCAGAATATGTGCTTTATAAGCACTAATAAACAGCAAATGTTAATAATAGGCATGCTAATAAACAACTAGTTAATAGTGAGAATTGGTCCCTATACTAAAATGTTATCATTGCTTTTAAGCTGTTACCCAATCCTACATTTGATTTTAAGACACTTACAGTTACAGTAAATTGTGTGTGTTGTCTGCCACGAACAGCAGTAGTTTTGTGTGTGTGAACATTTTGTTTTTTTCTTTGTGTTCATTTGTTTATTTCAATGTTTTTATAGCACTTTTCTCAATACGCAGTTTCAAAGCAACAGAAATCTGGATATAATTGTAGCAGTTAAATTATTATTTAATTATGCGGTTAAATGGAAATCTGTAAGGTTTGAAATAGTAATATTATGGTGTAGTGACGAAACTGTTTATTTTTTTGGTGATGTGCCATGGTTTATTCATATAAATTACAGAGTTTAAAAAGTTGGTTATTTTTGAAGGGGACTCAAAGATGTTTTGCCTTAATTAAGGCCAAATTGTCTTAATATGGGGACTTTTTTAGTTACTTGGCGTTTCGGTGCACTGAAAAATGATCTAATTTCTGTTTATCTGGCCAACAACACAAAGCGATATTTGTTTGAATATGAGTTAGGTTCATAGGTTCACCATGCGGTAATATCATAATTATTAAATTATATTACATCCTCCACATAGTATTTCAGGTTTCGTCTGGGACGGAGAACATCTCTTACTTAGATATTCAACTGCAGCAAGCCCACTGATCTACCACTTATCATCATATTGAGCAAAACCCCAAAACAACGGTAGATCTACAACAGTAGATTAGCCTAATAGTTCACACATAGGCTTATCGCCATGTTAATTGTAGCGGGTAACTTACTATCCAACAAGCTACAGTTTTAAACCAGCTATCAAACAAGCTAATGTTATAATTACTAATATAGAGGACTCATGGAAAACTACATCAGTTATCATGATTTTTTTTTTTTTTTTTGTCATGGCTGATTTATTAATGACTTCATCATCTGTGTTAAAGAGAAAATAATCACTTAATCCGATGTTTAAAGTGAATAGAATAGACTTACTGGAGTTCCACAACTACTGAAGAACTTTGTTTTCTCCCACGGCACTTGTGTGTGTGAGTGAGGTAAAGGGGGATTGTTTTACTACTTACACAGTTATTTTAAGTATATATCATTATATTATTTACAATACACAATGAACTTTCAGGATCAGCATCCCAAGGATAGGAAGGAATGCTAAAAGGCTAATATTGAAAACAAATATTTTCATCCATCCAAACAATTTGTGAAGCAAAAAGCAACAAAAGATTTAATTATTTTTCATTGCTAATATTGTTTATTGCACACATGGCTTATTTAAAGAAAAGGTAATAAAAGTATGTTTTGAAACAGAAAATAAAGAAATATTGGTAACATTTTACAATAAGATTCCATTAGTTAATGTTAGTTAATAACATGAACAAGCAATGAACAATACATTTATTACAGTATTTATTAATCTTTGTTAATGCTAATGAAAATACAGTCGTTCATTGTTAGTTTATGTTAATTCACAGTGCATTAACTAATGTTAACAAGCACAACTTTTGATTTTAATAATGCATTAGTAAATGTTGAAATTAACATTAACTAAGATTAGTAAATGCTGTAGAAGTTTGATTGCAACATATAATCATTGCTGTTAATAGTGTTCATCGTCTGTTTGATTATGTCATTAACTGAATTTTACCGTACATTTCTGCCATAAGTACATCAATTTGACACAGTCACCACTGACAAGCTACTACTAAATATATTGTAGAAACTTAATTTTCTGTAAAGCTGCTTTGCAACAATTTGTATTGTGAAAAGCACTATACAAATAAACTTGAATTGAATTGAAAAAAGTATTGTTCATGCTTAGTTCATGTTAACTAAAGTAGTTAACTAATGTTAACTAATGAACCTTATTGTAAAGTGTTACCAAAATATTAACTAAAGAAATTAAATATTAAAACGAAAAATTAATTATTGCCTTTCGACTAAACAATTTTAAATCTGTCATCATTGCATTTGGCTGCACTAATTTTGGTTGGATAGATGAAAATAACCGTTCATTTTCATCAGTTATTTTATCTATGGCTTGTTATACTGTATCTAGCTGGCTTTCATACAACATAGGGTTAGGCATGTGACATACAACGCTTGATATTTTGGTTTCTTTTGGAATTATTTTCATTGGTGGAGAAGAAATTGTTCATCGTAATGAACATTAGTGCGCCATGAAATCCACCGGGGTAATGTTCATGTGTGACATCAACTCCAGCATTACGCAAGCGTGTGACATACATCAAGCCATCATCCCGCAGTACATCATACTCGCAGGTCAACACATACGCCTTAGGCAGTAAACGCAAGGCTGTGTCAGGCACCAGCAATGGAGAGGCTCGTGGATCTGCAAGCAAGTGATGTGGACCAATAGAGCGCACTGAACTTTTTCCAGTAACCACAGGTGGAGCACTGTAATTGTATGCCTGGCGATATAATTCAGGTAAGTATGAACTCCAATTGACAAACTTAAGCAAAGCAGCTGATTCATGGCTGTTGTGTCTGTTTGCCATCATGGCTCTCAAAAATGACTTGTTGCTGGTGAAGTATTCGCTCCAAAACCTCACCATCAGTGTGCGGGGCAGTATAGGCATGTGCTGGTTCTGCTGGTAAGAGGGAGTGTTCAGATCCAAGGCTTGCAGAACAGGGTAGATTAGAGCCTGGGCCTTTAGCTGGACATGCTGTTCTGGGTCCTTCTGCAACTGAGTAAACATACAAATCAATTAAACATATGAAGATTATTTATTAGTCTGTAAAAAAAACCAAGAACTTCAGTTTAATTGTTGCCAAAAAATTTAGTGTTGTGCAAGTTGCAACCTGCAGTAATAAGGTTTTTTTTTTTTTTTGGTTTCACTTTATTTTGATGGTCCCTTTAACACATTCTGTTGACTATATGTAACGTTGCACCTACATATCTAATAACTCTCATTAGAGTGTTAGTAGAGTATTAGTAGACTGGTAGGGTTAGGGTTAGAATAAGTTGATATGCACTTGCAAAATTACTTATAGTCAGTAGAATGTCAGCTGGGAGACCATCACAATAAAGAGCTAAGCGGCAGATATTAAGCATAGTAGTCTACTAATACTCTAATGTGAGTTAGTAGACAGAGTGTTCAAAAGGGACCATCAAAATAAAGTTTTACCCTTTGTTTTTTTTATTTGTTTTTATTTAAGCATGGCTGAAGAAAATTGAAAATGTGAAAACTAACAGTAATTATGGTGACAAGTTAAATACACTGCTCAGAAAATGAAGGGAACACTTAAATCACACATTGGATCATGATTAACTAAATATTCTAGTTGACAATCTTTACTTATATGCATTTTATAATTCGTTGAGATCAAAATTATGTGACGATGGGACCATGGAAACTAAAATCATCAACCCACTGAAGGCTGGATTTAAGATCAAACCAAAAATCAAAGTAAACAATTTAATATACAGGTTGATTGAACACGCATGGATTTCATCAAAGCAACTTGTTATGTAAATCAGTAGCGTGTACGGCGCCCACATGCCTGAATGCACTCCCTACAACGTCTCGGCATGCTCCTGATTAGATGGTGGAATTCCTGGAGGATTCCTGGGGAATCTCCTGCCAGACCTAGATCAGGGCATCAGTGAGCTCCTGGACAGTCTGTGGTGCTACTTGGCAGCTTTGGATGGATTCAGTTCAATTGGATTCAGGTCTAAGGAATGTGAAGGCCGGACAATGGCATCAATGCCTTCATCATCCAGAAACTGCCTACACACTTTGGTCACATAAGGCCGGGTATTGTCATGCACCAGGAGGAACCCAGGGCCCACTGCAAGCTCTGACAGCGGCTCTGAGGATTTCATCTCGGTACCCAACAGCAGTAAGGGAACCGTTGGCTAGCTTGTGGAGGTCTGTGTGACCCTCCAAGAATATTCCTCCCAAGACCATCACAGACCCACCACCAAACCGGTCATGCTGGATGATGTTGAAGGCAGCATAACATTCCCAACAGCATCTCCAGACTCTTTCATGTCTGTCACATGCTCAGTGAAGAGAATAGGGCACCAATGGTGGACCTGCCAATTCTGGTGTTCTCTGGCAAATGCCAATCAAGCTGCATGGTGCTGGATTTTGAGCACAGGTCCAACTATAGGATGTCAGGCCCTCATGCCACCTTCATGCCTGAAATTCTGGAGGTTTTTGTAGGGCTCTGGCAGTGATCCTCCTGTTCCTCCTTGCACAAAGGAGCAGATACCGGTCCTGCTGCTGGTTTGTTGCCCTTCTATGGTCCTGTCCAGCTCTCCTTGTGTAACGGCCGTCTCACGGTGACTGTGCTGGGAGACACACCAAACCTCCTTGAGACAGCACTTATGGAAGTGCTATCCTGGTGGAGCTGGACTACCTGTGCAACCTGATTGGGTTGCAGTTACTGCCTCATGCTACAAGAATGGTGCTACTGGCTGGCTCATGCTTTTTAGGGGGCAGGCCTAATGGTTAGAGTCAGACTTGTAGCCAGATGTTTGATTCTCAGTACCGGCAGAAAATGAGGCCTAAAATGAGGTGGGGGAGTAAATGAACAGTGCTTTCTTCCACCTTCAATACCCTCGACTGAGGTTCCCTTGAGCAAGATACCGAACCCCCAATTTCTCCCCAAGCAATGCAGCAAAAATGGCTGCCCACTGCTTCGGGTGTGTGTTCACTACTCACTGCTGTGTGTGTGCACTTTGTGACACTGTCACACAAGACACATGTTTTAATCCACTCAATATGTATTATGATGGTTTTATATATATTTGAGTTTTATGGATTTACATGATGTCTTAGCCATTTTATTCCTCTTACCTGTTTTAATGTGTGTATGTCTTTAAATGAGTCTGGGTCTGCCTGTCATGTGACTGATCACATGACAGGAAACAGGACGTAAAGCAGCATAAAGGAGGCAGCATGGCAAGCAAACAATAGGTGTGTTCGACTTCATGCGGCGCTGCGCAGACCGATTGGCGGCTGACTTGAAGCAGTGCAAGCCAGTTAGAAATTTTGTCCGACTTGAGACAGCGCCGATGCCACGTCACTGTGACGTATAGCATCAAAGTATCAAAGCATCAAAGAGCGTTTCGAGAGCAGTCGGCTGACTCAGCCGGCGCAGTTTGTCCAGAGCGACTGCAGGAGCGCTGATGACGACACAGCCGTTTCACGATTGGATCGAATTCACCACATGACAACGATGACGTGTGTTTAGGGTTTATTCTGACACCTTCAGTTCCACTAATGCTCACAAATCTGTGTTTTTATAAGAGCAAAAGCTCTTTTACTGTAGTTGCAATGTCATATTGAGTCACGTTTATCAAAAAACACTGCTAAAAGTATATATAGACCTACTTTATTGGTATTTAAATAGTATATATTTGTGTTGAACTTTATTTTTGAACAGATGGCACTGTATTAAGCAGTATATGAAAAGTATTTTTGTTGTTTCATGAAAACTTTTCTGAAACATCTATGTATTTGACAAGTATTGCATTTAATTCACTTCATCTGTGATACAGTATGCAAACACTGTGAGAGCGTCACTACGGGAAGCAGAAAGTGTCCGACTTGACATCTCCGCTTTCAATTCTGCCCCCAACTGCAAGTGGCTACTCTCGCCGATCAGTCTGCGCAGCGCTGCATGAAGTCGAACACACCTAATCTCTCACTTACAAATGCAAAAATGTGTTTTATTCTGACTCACCTTTTCAGATACAACCTTTTGGACTTTCACTTGGATTGTAAATACACTGTTGGACATTTGTATTGGGACTATCAACACACTGGGACTCATTCGGACTGTTTTAGGTTATGGTGTTATGGACTTTTAACAGCCTGAGGTTCCTAGTTTTATTGTGTTGTTTTAAGTCTCATGTGAATATTGTAAATACACCACTGGTTTTCACTTTACAACTTTCGTCTGTCTCATCTTTTTAAACACTCCAAGCTCTCACACAGTATAATCTGATGCCATTTTAATCTATGTAAATTCGACTGATAGGGCTTAACGTTACAACTTGGATGGGATAAACGCAGAGCCTAAATACCAAGTATGGGTTGCCATACTTGGCTACAGGTCATGTCACTTTACTTCGATGATTAAGTGTTCCCTTAAGTTTTTATTTTATTTATTATTATTATATATATATTTTTTTTAGCAGTGCAGATGGAAGTACATGATGAAAACATATAGTGCAGGTAACTAAAGGTATAAGGCACATTGTTTATAGATAAAATGCACTGGTTATTTTAGAGCCCTTTTCTAAAAAATGTAAATCCTGCTAGAGTCATTAATGTATAATGTTCTACATCTTACCTGCTGAGCCACTGCAGCTGCAAGGTTGCCTCCTGCACTGTCTCCAGACACAGCAATCCGTTCTGGATTGATATGGTAGCCCTTCAGAACATCAACACGAAGGACGTACTTCAGCACACGGTACACATCCTCAAATTGGGCAGGAAAATGATAAGCTGGGGCAAGACGATACCTGCACAGAGCAAATTATGTTGGTACTGTTCCTCTTAATTCCACTTTTCTGTCAGTATAAAATCCTCTGTTGTGAATAGAACGGTTGTCCACAGGTAGTCACCACAAACAGTATGACTGCAAGTGTTGCAGTTTTAATGTACTTTTTTATTGAATCAATACAAAGGACAAAAAAGTAGTATCATGTCTGCAAGAGAGTCTGAACTTGTTCTGTGTTTGCTGTTAGTTTGCAAGTTCCAATACACTGCTTCCGATATACTTTCCGTATCAAATCTTGCCTCTCTATAATATTGCTCATCACTCTCCTGAGTCAAATGTTACCGAATGCAAGATGAATCCAAAAAAGCTAATGAGTTAGCATTAACCAGTGGAATACACCTTTTGTTTATTATTACTTAAACTTGTGGAGAACAGCCTAACAACCCACCTGCACCATTGTTCCTCAGATTTTAATGAAGGAAGGAAGAAATAGTGAAGTTGCATTGCCAGCTATGCTGCATCTCATTCCCTATCTAACACTAAATGTGAAATTATAAAACCCAATAAAAGTGTGCGGAGAGGCCCATCTTGCCGCACACAAATATCTTCTAAAGATTCTCCTTTAGATAGTGCCTGAAATTATGCCACTAGTGTGCTCTAACATCTAGAGGCGAAGTGAAACCACACACCTCATAGGCTAGAGAAATCGCATCCCTTAGCAAATGTGACATACTTTGTTTCATAGTCAAAAACTCTTTACAGCGAACACCAAAACAAAGAAACAACTGATCTGATTCATGCCACTGACTCAAACGGTTAATGCAAATCTTCAACGCTTTCACAGGACAAATCCTGTGCAATCTTTCATTCTCCAATGATCCAAAGGGCTGATAGGAAAACAACAGTAATATCACTACTTGAGATGTGAAAATAGTAGAGGTAACCTTAGGGACATACCTTATTTTGGGTAAAAAAAAACTTTACCAATCTGGGAGCAAAATCCATCCTGGACATACTCCGCAACAAGGCCTGCCAAAAATTTTAGAGATGTTAAGGCCGCATACACCTTAAGTGTAGATGGAAAAACACTCTTTTAAGAACTTCAGCACTTAACCCAACCAGACCAAACTTGGGATGGCCATCGTGTTGCCACTTGTGCACTAGTCTGTCTGTCAAAACCATATTTACCGTAGAGCTACCCATAGTGTAAGCCATGCTCTTAGTGGCCTGAAATGCCAGATCCATTGCACAACAAGATCTTTGACCGCTCTTTGATTCCTCATCCTTGTGCTTCAGGACATCAGCTTGGTAGGCCTGCAGAAGTGCCATAGTGTGCTATGCCACACCAACCTGGCTGGCTAGATCAAATAAGACTTCCAATCAGCACTGAAGTTGTTGATGCATTTGAGTGTAAACAGGTTTCTTTACACTTTTAGGCAGTGTAAAGCTTAGAAAAGTCCCAGCCCGGATAATACTATTAGCAGAGTGCACAATCACTGTTCAGAGCAGCTAGGCCTCATGTTTACTTAAATTAGTAAAAATTTAAAAGCTCATTGTCAAATGATGTAAACAGCACACTGTTCTTCCTGTTTCCAAAAATAGTTGCCCCACCATCAGCGTGTACCTATTACTACCCTAGTCGTTAAATGCAGACAAGCTCTCAGAATATTTTGTGGCTCCATAAAGTCCTTACGAACAGGACCCAGAGAGTGAAAGCACCTACTGGTTCTTTCCAATGGTGTGTCATTTCTCCTCTCCTTTACATCCATTACACAGACAATTGACATAGCTGATTTGAGTATCAGCCCTTTATGAAGTTCACAGATGACAAGGTGTACTTTTAAAAATGTTGTCTTGATGTATTTTTAGAGTCCGAGAGCAGAAACAGCAGGGATGAAGATGATGCATGGTTGAGGTAAAGTGTATGTCATTTATAAAAACTTGACCTTGGAAAATACAGGTAGGCTGCATCGGGACAGCCACCAACGTCTTTTCTTCCTCTGGAAAACTGGCTTCAAAGTTTAACATTTTTAGATCAGTGATGCCTTTTTTTTATAGACCCTATACTGAGACCATTTATACATTTTCATTGCTTTGTCCATCCCTAATCAAACACTTGAGCAAAGACTACTAAACACACATTTTCCTTGCTCAACTCTGGCTCAGAGTGTTTGTTGAGGACAAACTGAGTTGAAGTTGATTTGGGTTCAAGTTAGTTCATTATCTGCATTCCTAGAAATTTCCTTGAATTTCAGTTCACTATTTCTTCTAACATTAACTGGCCAAATAATGTTCATGAACAAGTGTATGTTTTGTGTGTCCTGTACTTCACTATAATCTCTTTAGTGTTTCTGACATTTGGACACCTGGCAGGCAGTCAAAGTGTTTATAGTTTCACAGCAGCAGGCAGTCTAGCAGCAGGAAGTCAGACAGCCAAGTCTATTCACATAGGAGATAAATAGGGACGCATCAGACTTCTGAATGTTACTCACCAAACGTCTTTTGACTTTTTATTATTGGTTCAGTATGTTTCTTTTGGCTTTTACTTTCAATTTTATCTAATTTTCATGCTCCGTCAACACACCGCATGTTCTTGTTTTTGCTCTTGTCCATGATACTACAGGATTCTGCTTTGGAATGCTGGAGCGCTGGCCCATGCAGAGGGCTTACCCTCACTGCAGTTCATTGCTGATGGTTATCAGATCACAGCGGTGTCATCAGCACATTTATTTATCCTATTCTTGCTGTGTTTGCATACAAGGTAATACATGAGAACAGCATGGAGCCTCTCTTTGTTAAGAACAGAGCATCCACATGTTGAAATCGTTCCAACAGAGTTAGGGCTAAGTGCATTATTCAGCTCTTCAAACAAACTGTGGCAGTTATAGGAAGATATATCAGATGTATCACAGTCGATTTAGATTGAAATCAGTGAGTGCTGTCAAACTTGTTAGGACATGCAAGTTTGTTGAGGGGCATGAAAATCCCATTGATTGTTCGCACCTCAGATTTGAAAAAGGCTCAAAAATGGATGTGTAAAGCTGTGGAGATGTTGATTGAATTTTGGAAAAGGGGAGGGGAAATCATAGGGAAAGGGAGGCTGTCAAACATAACCAATAAAACACAGACCTACAAAACACTTACATTTCCAAACCATTTTTCTTGAGGCACACCCATAATATATTTTCAAACCGTTCCTAATCAAGCACACCTGATTCAACTCATCTGCTTTGTACTCCATGTATACTCCAAGACCTTAAATGAACATGTCAGATAAGGGAGATATTCAGAATGTGTAATGTTGGTGTGCCTCCAGGAATTAATATTGAAATGGAGTGCAGACCAAGACAGTTTGAAGCACTTGGCTGTAATCTAAAAATATCTGCCATGACAACAAACTAGGGACACAATACTGAACAAAAAATGTTTTGATAAACTACGTATACTTAAAATACCAACAACAAAAATTTTAGCATTTTAACATTTCAGGGCTATTGGTCTATAATTATGAAAACTGAGGAAGAACATGAAAAAGGTCTTCTAAAACCCTTAAAGGGATAGTTCAACCAAAAATGAAAATTACCCCATGATTTGCCATCCTGGGTGTATATGATTTTCTTCTTTCAGACAAATACAATCAGAGTTATAATAAAAAAATGTCCTGGCTCTTCCAAGCTTTATAAAGACAGTGAATGGGGGTTGAGATTTTGAAGGCCAAAAAAGTACATCCATCTATCATAAAAAGTTCTCCACACGGCTCTGGGGCGGTTAATAAGGGCCTTCTGAAGTGGACACAGCTCACCAACAGCAGTTACAGACAACAAAGCTAGACAAAAGTCAATTGCAACATGAGGGCTATTTATACAGAAGACTAAATAACTAAACAAGACAATGACCCAATCACAAAACAGAACTTAGAACCACATGATCAAATCGACACATGAACAAGACAACCAATAGCAGGATTACTTAAGGGCAAGGTAAACACATGACAGGAACCATAACTATGAAAAAGACTAAATAAAAGACATAAAAAAACATGAACATAAACAAAAACCAACCGTGACATCGCCCCCCTCTAAGGGCGGCTCCAGACTCAAAAAGTCCAGGAGGGTGGTGAAGTGGAGGCGGAACAGGGAGAGGGATGGAGGGCCAGCATGGACTGTGGAGCAGTGGCGGGCCTGGACCGTGGAGCAGTGGCATGTCTAGACTGTGGAGCAATGATGGAAACCATGGACTGTGGAGCAGAGGTGGGCCTGGACCATGGAGTAGTGGAGGACCTGGTACATGAAGCAGTGGCATAGACCATGGTGGACCAGACAGAGCAGGAGGCCAAGGTGAAGCTAAAGACCACCAGGGCGGAGCAGGTGGAGCTGAAGACCACCAGGGCAGAGCGGATGGGACTGAGGAACCCCACAGTGGAGCAGATGACCACCAGGGTGGAGCTGGTAGAGCAGACAACCAGAGCAGAGCAGGTGACCAAGGTGAAGCCTGCGGAGCAGAAGACCACCACAGGTCAGGAGGCCATGTCGGAGCAGAGACATGGACAGACCACCTGGCCATGACAGAACAGTCTCAGTGGCAGTAACATGACAGGCAGCGAGTTCATGAATGGCCTCCGTGGCCGTGACATGACAGGCAGAATATCCTTGAACAACCTCAGTGGCCGTAGCACGACAGAGAGTTTGTGAGCGGCCTCCATGGCTATGACATGACAGGCAAGGGGTTCAGAGACGACCTCCTTGGCTGTGGCAGGACAGGCAGAGAGTTCAGGGACAGCCTCTTTGGCTGTGACAGGACAGGCAGAGAGTTCAGGGATGACCTCCTTGGCCGTGACCACTGTGGTCAAAACAGGACAGGCAGGAAACTCACAGGTTGACGCCAACACAGTGTGAAGCCCAAACATACAAAATGGCAGCTGCCATCACAGGAAGTGCAGACGACAGTGGCAGGAACTCAGGGACTCCCAGACATGGACTTGGCCAATGTTGGCCAATCAGAAGCCTGAAAAAGTTTCCAGTA